AAAATGTTAAAGGCTTATCTTGAAAAGCAGTTTGAAGACTTTTAATCTAATTAAACTATAACATTCAAGCAATTGATAAAAGTATATTTTGAAACTTTAGAATACTTGCAACTACTAGTAGATGACTTCATGTATGAATTAATGTCAAGAGTTTTAGTTTTATCAAAGCATCATTTTATTACCAAAAACAAAAACAACTATTTGCAATCATTGAAAAATGAATTGAATTCACGTAAAACTACCATTTTAATAAACTTTTCTGAAAACTATTCGTTTGTTGTGCAAGATGCTGCTCAATGGTTTCACTGGGTAAACAGCCGAACAACCTAGCATCTTTTTGTTGTTTATTAAAAACTTATTGACATACTTAAAAAAGATGTTACTGTGTTATTAGTGACTGCACGCATCACGATACTATTGGTTTCATATTTTGTTAATGTATTTTTTGGTGAATGAATAGCTGAACTTAACCTTATACTAACTTACCCGAAAAAAAGGTATATTTTTAAAATATACATTGAACACTGAATATTTATGACCTAAATTACTAATTCCTGGTGTTTTAAATAAAAATTAAATGCACCTAAAATACAGTAGTGTTCCTATATTTGGATGTTGGCAAACTTACTTTGTGTAATTTTTAGGATTTTTGTGAAATAAAACCAGAGATAACTAACTCATTTTTAAATGCTTCTTACTAAATAAAAACCGTACTTTACAAAAGTAAAAATAAAACGAATTTTTCAAAAATTATACTAAATTTGTTGCATTAAGCCCAATTCAAATAGTTTTTTTCATTTCCATTTAAAATACCAAAACAAAAAAAAACAAAAAATAAAAAAAAAATTAATTTATTGGACCACTCGATCAATACTTTCTTTCATTAACAATATAGTTACTGTATATAATACATAAATATACAAACAACAAAATTAATAACGTTTACTTATGTAAACTGTAGCTACAGTATGTATTGATAATCAAGCAACAAACCTAAGAATTATTACATTTGCAAAACATAGTTACTGTACATGCTTATAAACAAACAGAAAAAAAAAACCTAGTGTAACAATTTTTTAAACATTAAGTTCCTTGACTGCAATGAAGCCTATGATTACATTTTGCACACATTGACCTTGTATTCTTATGACATATGACTTACTTCTTTGAGTACAATCAGTTGGCTCATAGCCTTGGCCATCAAATTGAACATCTGGGGATAACTATGCATTTTTTACACCGCCTAGGTCTATTGTAATTTCTTGTCTGAAATCAAAGTGAGTATTTTTGTCATCATTATGATATCGAGCGAGAAAAAATCTCCAAGCTGCAACCAGAGATTAGTTTAACATATTATTCATCAATAGCCACTACTTTTTTTTGGCTTAGATCATAAGCCTGATTCCAAAAGACAATTCATCAAATCAACAAGATTTATTAGGTTAGACTGATTTACTTGTAATTTACATTTCATTCTAACTCGCCTTTCACCTTGTGCATTGGTTCATGTGTAAAATAGTTGCTTGCAATTGTCACAACGCTATTGTTGTGCCATTTGCAGACAAAGCCTTCATGATTGCAACGATATTCATAAGTGCCTTTATTTTTCTTTTTAAGCTCTTTTTTGGATATAATTACTTTTAAGGCAGCATCTGTTCTATTTTCATGGACAACTTCTGTTGTAAAGAAACCCTCCTTTAAAAGTAATTTTGTCAACGTTCTACTAGTGAAACACTTGTCAAAATATATTTTGTGAAATTTTAGACTAAACAATTCATGTTTATATTTATAGCATGCATACTTATATTTACTCTATGCATATCATCATGAGTAAATCTTATGTTGTGTTTACCATTGGGGATAATTATTTTTTGCTCAAAAAAATAACATTCAAGTTTTAGGAGTTAAGTCGTAAAGACTCAGCTTATGCAGTGCAAAAACTCCAGGATTTTGTGGTTTTTAACAAATTTAAAAAATATACTATTTTTTATGCAAACGTTGTTAAATTTGATATAAATAATCTCTTATTAATCAAACTAAAGATGGTAATACGTAATTATGAAAACACAAAATGTAAACTAATTTAAAGCAGTATGATGTTAAAACTTATTTGTCCTTTGAACTTATTCATTATTTCAGTGATAAGTCAGCTGCACAGCAGAAAAACTTCAAAAGTTTTATAAATTTATGTTATCATTATACTGACTTCGACATTAAAGCAGAGTGAAATTTCTTTGGAACAAGTTATGAAAAATATCTTTTTCATGGAATTGGAGGATTTGTGAAGCGTTTAGCAGCACGTGGTAGCCTTTTACGGCCGACTAAAAACCGAATTATAACGCTCTTAAACTTATATGATTTTTGCAAGTAATATGTCAAGGGCATTTCATTTATTCATATTGCCAGTTATAAAGTAAAAAGTGTATCAGACAATTAGGAGAAAAATGTAGTACTGGTGACACAGTTGCAGGTACCGTGATGAAAACAAATTTTTACAAGTAAATCAAATCAGAAATGTGTCTTACTTTTACTTTTATTTTAAAAATACTTTTTTTATTGCAAACGTTAATGAAAGTTACATAACAACTCTTATCTTAGTCCCGGAAGTTTTATTGCATATATTTATGGAAACCTTTGTTGTATTTTAAAAGAACAAGAAGATGTTTTCATTTAATTTATGCATCCTCATTGAATGGCTCAGTCGTTTTACTGGCCTACCACTAAAGACACTTTTTGGCTACTGGAGAAACTTAATATTGCAGTCATTACAGATCCAATTAATTCTGCAACTTGTCCTTAAAATTTATTGTTAATTGTTGTTTCAGAAAATAATTCCAAATTTGAAGCAATTTTAAATAAGTAATTTAAATTAAGTTGATCATGGTTGCGCACTATTTTTTTTTCTATCACTAATTTTTTTTAAGTAGAAAATAAACATTATTTTAAATCTTTGTTTTTCTTTTTTTTTATTATTATTTTTGCGGAAAATGAGTTGTAATTCTGTGTTGATTCCAAAACTACATAGCATAACCAAGTTACCTAGAAACTAGATCATGCATCTATAACCCGGTCCGCATTGGTGACGTTGTTGAATTAATGGGGTTTTTAGGCATATAAACAATCGCCTAGATATATATCTACATTAAAAGCACCAACTTTTCCATGAAAAAAAAGCTAAAACACCCCTTCACGGTTGGCGCAGTTGCCTTGATTTGCCTTATGGTAAGTGCACTTTTGCCTAAAACTGAAGCTAAAATTAATATTGAAAAAGTTTTTCAGTTAATTTTATAATTTATTGCATTCTAATTATGTATACATATTACATTCCCCTCTCCTGTAAGCGAACTAAACTTATTTGTACATATCTTGAAAAGTAAAACAGTTAACATTTAAAAAAAATTACTTTACCATATCTTAAAACTTACATGAGTTAGATACTTGCATAGACTTTTGTAGAAATGTTCTTATGAAAAAACTCTTCCTCGCTATTTTCTCGGATTCAATTGCTGCTGCAGGTAGCAGGTAGGTACAGTTTAGCTTGTTTATAGATTTTTTATATTGATTGCTTTTTTCAGCGTGTTTGAAAATTTATAAGGAGCCGGTGTCAAGCTTTTTAAAAAAAAAATCATGAGTGGTTAGTATTCGACTGTGACTACATACCTTTCCTGTTCACGACAGAGGAAGTTCCGAGTTCAATCCTCACTATGTCCCTGGTAGTACTGTGCTAACCCTAATTCTCAGTACAGCGGCCTTGTTTGTCAAGGTTCGTGTTTCAGAGTTATAAAGTTGAAAAAGGGTTGTAACCACAACTAAAGTAGCCTCTTCAACAGTAGTAGCCTTCTCAACTTGGAAAGGTGGTTCAACATTAAAAAAATAATAATATTAAAATCTAATTAGAAGAAACTAAATAACAACAATACTAAAGTTAAAAAAAATGAAGGTGAGATATAACAAATCATAGACTTTTATTTATCAAACATTGTAACAAATGTTACTGTATTTAAGACAAATGCAATAACTTTAAGAAAACACATACAAAAATATTTAAAACTTTTTTATCTTTGCACACTAGACAGAGGAGAAAGAGTTAAAGGATCTGAAAACTACTTAATTGGTCAATTTAATGATAAGAAAACGAATAAAATGAAAAAACTATCTTTTGTTAAACTAAAGAGTTCAACCTCTAATTAAAAAAATATATTTTTTTAATTAGAGGTTGTTCAACTTTGAATAAAGTTGAACAAAAACTAAAAATTTAAATATTCAATTTATAATCCAAAACAAAATGCACTAAACTTGAAAAATAAACATTACCAATTTAATTGCAAAATAACAGATTTTGTTGTTAAGAAAGCAGTTTAGTTCACAAATAGATTTGAAACTAATGTCTAATGTCTATTTTACAGAACCTTATATATATATATATATATATATATATATATATATATATATATATATATATATATATATATATATATATATATATATATATATATATATATATATATATATATATATATATATATATATATATATATATATATATACATATATATGCATGAGTTTTTTACTTATATTTGAGTATATTGTTTTTTTTTAAAAAAACAAGCTAAAAAACAAAAACAAATGCAGATTTATTATTTTAAATTTTAAAATGTAGTCTTTTTTAGTTAAATTTTTTCTTATTTAAGTGTTATCTTTGATTGTTTTGTTTTCTGTGCATAATTTCTGTTTTTAAAATTATAAAACAATGTAAAACAATAAATAAATATAAAATCATAAAATATATGTAAAAATATGTATGTATGTATGTATATATGTATGTATGTATGTATGTATGTATGTATGTATGTATGTATGTATGTATGTATGTATGTATGTATGTATGTATGTATATACATACTTATATTTATACACATATGTATAACATACATGTAAACATTTTGTGTGTAGATATTTATATGAACATATAAATATATTTGTAAACATCTTTAATTTAGAAGTTATTCACAGCTATTGAAAGTTTGTTGAAATTAGAAAAAAATGACGTTTTCCGCCAAAGTTTATCAATACTACTAATCTTTTATGGTGACTACGATTTAGTTAAACTTGTTCCAATCAATTTTATTTCATTTGTTTTTGAAAATTTATCATTGGAATGTCGTGATTGGAGTTATAGCAATATATTAGAAAATGTAGATATTCCAAAAAAATATTTAAGGTAGTATGAGTTTTTTACTTATATTGTTGTTTTTTTTTTAAAAACAATCTAATAAAGAAAATCAAAAGCAGATTTATTAATTTAAAATAAGAGTGTATGTAATACAAAGTTATCAAAATATTGCAAAAATTTAAAATGTAGTCTTTTTTTAGTTAAATTTTTCTTATTTAAGTGTTATCTTTGATTGTTTTGTTTTCTGTACATAATTTCTGTTTGTATTAATTTTTTGAAATGATAAAATATAATAAATAAATATAAAATCATAAAACATATGTAAAAAAATGTTATACATAAAGTCATAAAATATATTTCTAAAGATAGAGTATTACTAAAAAAACTTTAAAATAGTATCGTATCTAAAAATTAAAAAAAATGTTTTTATTTATAAATAAGACGTATCCCAGTGGGCATTCGAACATTTCATCAACGTTTAGTTAGGGTTTGTTCTAAATATTTATAATAAATTTAGTTTTGATCTAAAAAGTAGGTCGATCGAATGTTTTATTTAAATCATATCTAAATGGTTAGTTTTAAACGCTATTTAAACTCCATCTAAATCTTTTGTTTTAAACGTCGCAATGTTTAACTTTATTTAACGGCGCTTGTTGAAAGAAGCATAAATAAAAGAAATACTGATAAACGAATTAAACTTTTCTTTTATTTAAACTTTTTTAAATAAGCACCGTAAGTTAAACGTTAAAAAGTTAAACGCTGAATGCATTATTTAAATACTCATAAACAAATCAAACGTTAAACAGAAAATATTATAATTATCGAAGTCTAAAATACAAGTAAAATCATTTTATTTATAATTATATGCATTATCGCATTCGTCATCATGATTGGCTCCATAATGATTATCGTCATTTTTGCTTGAACCAAATTAGTCTCTTCGTCTTAAGAATCAGAAAAAAGGACATAACCTTTCATAGTTCCACTTGTACAAAAGGAAGCCATTCTAAGACGGGAAGCAATGCACGACACCATATTGCGGATACCGAGAACGTACAATCTCCTTTCAATACAAATGTTAAAATTAATAAAAATAACTCAATAAACATCTTTATTCCCTTCCTTATAATCATTCATTCAATAACTTTATATATCCATAGTTTTATAGATTTTAAAAGATTGTACATTAGGACAGTGTACATTGAGTAACTATAGTAATAATTGATAAAGAACTTTTCTATAAATATCTGTAAAAAATATAATATTTTTATATAATAAAAACCATATTAAAAAAACTTGTAGTTATCGCAGTTATGGGTTGATAACTTACAAGTTGCATAACTGTAGGATAACTTCAGTGTCCTTCATTCTTTAAACATAGTAAAACAATATTATATAGTTCATAACTTCTATTACTTTATAACAATATCTGTACAGCATATATATATATATATATATATATATATATATATATATATATATATATATATATATATATATATATATATATATATATATATATATATATATATATATATATATGTTTACACATATATATATGAGATAATTAATGACTTGGATGAATATATACTATATAGGTAATAAAATATATAAATAACGAGTTTGATAACTTCCATTTTTAACTGTCTTGAGGAGCAATAGGCACACTCAGTATCCTGTTTGATTGAAACTTTCTATTCAATTGAAAAGTTGTGAAAATACTGACAGTTTCACTACAATAAAAATAAACATATAAAAATAAAATTGTAATTCTTAAAATACTTAAAGTTAAAAACTAATGAATAAACGTAATAATTAAAATTTATATATCAAAATCATATATGTACTAACATGCAACTCAAACTAAAAATTAAGTATTATTTGATCAATTCATTAGATCGTCTTTAGATATAGTAGCTCCCTATGTAAATAATGGTAATTTAGAACTCTCGGGCTACAGAAAAGGAGACTTTGCAAGTACTGATGGGTTATCTTCAATGTAAATAACTACATAGATATATTATGTATGCAAAGCTATTTTAAATGAAAATTTACTAAAGCATTGTAAATTTGATTTTAAAAGGTCTATTCTAAATGTATTACAAAGCTAAATATGTTTATAAGTCATAAAAAATAACACGTTTATCTAAAAGTGAAGGAGTTCTATATTAAAGATATAAAGTTAGACATCTTACTTGATTGGTCCATTTTACAGTCTTTTAGTATAGTCACACATGATTTGAATAAAGATATCTTAGAATGCAATTAAAATGCTTGAGACAAGGTGGCTGTGGGTGGTGGTGATTTAACTAAAATGTAAATCCGAGTGTATACTGATTGAGATAAGTTCGTTACAACTACTATTAATCTTTAAAGATGTAAAGTAGGACAACTTACTTGCATAATCAATTGTGCATACTTACAGTACCACATCCATAATCTTTTTGAATAATTAAATGTTTCTAACTTTTATTTTTTGTACTTGCACGCATCTTGCATGCATGCTATATTATAATATAGCATGCATGAATAATGCATGCAAGTACTTTTAGCACTAAGGTCTTCACATACTTAATATCAAGTAATATACTTAATATCATTTTAACATCAAATTAGCTTTCACATACTTAATATCATTGTAACATCAAATTAGCTAACCTGTCAATATTCGCACTTATTGCATTAACATTAACATAAAATTCTTCCTCACTTGAAAAATAAAAACTATTTTACTAAACCGTAAAAATGGTTAATCGCAGATGAATCCTAATTACTGAAATTTTACTTATTAAAACTTGCTTCTTTTTTTATACATAAAAATTAGAACAAACTAAATAAAACTATTATTCTTAAATTTATAATAAATCTATGTAATTAAAAAATAAAAGTTTTGTGAATGTAAAATATATCACAAATTAAAATTACAACTCAATTAAATAGCAAGCTTTTAGTTCTTCCAATCAAACAGCTTGGCGATATGAGATTTTGCTTAAATTTCAACAATCATTAAGTTAAAGGTACATCAACACATTAACTTGCAACGAAACTTGTTAAAAGTGTTTTAAATAAGTTTTGTCATTTAGTTTACTAATACATATATATTGTTTTTCAAATACATGTATAAAATATATGTATTTGTATACTATACTACATATTATACAGTTGTTTACTTTTTTTGCCAACTTTATTTTTTCTAATTCCGATGGTTGATATATATATATATATATATATATATATATATATATATATATATATATATATATATATATATATATATATATATATATATATATATATATATATATATATATATATATATATATATATATACATATATATATATATATACTATATATATATATATATATATATATATATATATATATATATATATATATATATATATATATATATATATATATATATATATATATATACATATTATATATTATGGTCCGTAAAATGATAGGCTTGGTAGGTCTTTTGTAACTTAATAAAATAAATGAATAATAATGCAATAAATATTTTATTAGCCTTGAGACATAGAACAGAAGATACCCAGCAAGCACAAAAACGTTGATACAACGTTGCTATAACGTCGCGGTACTCGTTGAACTGACGTTGAAAATTAGTCGAAATGGAAACAAGTTATGACATTGTTTTTATCATTGTTCAACCAACGTTGTGGATAGACGTAAGAAACACGTTGATTAGACGTTATACTAACGTTATTTCAATGTATTTTGGTTGTTTTTACCGATTTAAAACGACCAAATTAAATATTAGGCAAATACAAAACATCTCTTGAAATAATACAACAAATATTATTAGGGTATATAATTCTAATTTCAAAACAAATACAGCACAAATTAAGAGATTTGTACAGTATATAATTCTTATTTCAAAACAAATGCAGCACAAATTATAAGATTTGTTCGTTATCTGTAATTTAACTTTTTATTAGTATTGGTTGTATCGACGCTTATAAACAACTTTCGTTACTCTTGAGTCCGTGGCGAGCTCTTGCGCCCACCTCCATTTAAAATATCAGGAGCATACTTTAAATAATCTTTCAAAAAATTTCGAATTGTTGAACTCGTAGACTTTGCATAAGTTGCCAAAACCGAATCTAAAAATAAAGCAAGGATTTATTATTTAAAACTGACATTTTATCTGACAAATTTTAATTGGAAACTGATCTGCAGATCGCCTACAGCTAGTTTCATATCAACAAGACTAAGAGAATTAAGAGCTGTTGCTTATATAAAATTTAAACAATTACCAGATACAGCATGATAAATTTTTGTCTTTTCGAAAGCTCTTTTTTGTCCTCTTTTACCTGCCATACTAAATTTAGCTTTAAGACTATTTGAAATTACCCTAAAAAATTGCAAAAAAATTGCAAAAAAAAATCTCATTTGCACAAATTAAGAGATATGTTTGTTATCTGCAACTAAACTTTTTATTAATCTTTAAATAGAAATAAAAATATTCAATAGTTTAAACAGTAATGTATATATACGTACATTTTATTGTTTAATATATACTTTAATATATGTACAACCCTCGGAATTAGGAAAAATGAGGTCGGCAATAATTAGCCGACCTCTATCTTTTAGAGGTCGGCATCAGGTGGTAAAAATTATTTGATACAAATGTCTTGCAATAAAACATAGAAACGAGGTCGCAATTTTTTGGCGATCAAACACTTTTAGGCCGGCAGTTAGGTCGTCATTGCCGAATGCCGACCCTATATCCGAGGGTTGATGTATATATTGGGAATATTTGTCATTATTATTACATATCGAAAAATTAGTCTGAATTTAAAAACCGTTTCTAACTACAAAATGGTGGAAATATAAATATAATATCATCAGGTTTAAAAACATTTATGAAAAACATTAGCATTATAGAAATATTTTAAGAAAAGCAATAATAGAAAAAACACTTTAGATGCACTTGGGAGTTTACACCAACCCTATAGTAACAAAATGAACTTACCGTTGCATGATGTTTTTTATGCTTGTTTTGTAATTTGCTCCACCGAC